TGACCCTTTTAATTCTGAAAACTATATATATTATGGTGCACTGATTACAGGACCCTGAGGTGTACTCATATGCCCTGAAATGCATGTGAGTCATCAGCTACTTTTTGTGTGTTTATAGTGTATACCACATATTAAAGCAGGGAGGAATGGAGTCACAGTGAAAGCTGCAGTGTGGAGTACCAGGTGCCACAGTTATCTTGTGGCCTATCATCAGCTCGAACAAACACATAGCTTTTGCATTAGTAATATTATGAAACCCTGTGAAGTGTCCACCATTTTGTGTTTTGTTCGAGCTGTTGTGAAATGGAATCATTGTAGAGATTTTTCCAAATCTTCTGTACACAAAAACTCATCTTCATCTAATGAACTCCAGCTCCTGCGTCATCAGCATGCGTCATGTGGTGAACGTTCATCGAAGCCTGACACGGAAGAGAAGAAAGTGTTGAATAAAGTCATTATTATTTTTTTTTCGTATTGTTGTTTTTGCACACAAAAAGTATTTTTGTAGCTTCATAACATTACAGTTGAACCACTGATGTCACATGGACTATTTTAATGATGTCCTTACTACCTTGCTGGGCCTTGAACGTGGTAGTTCCCTTGGGTCAGAAAGCTCTCGGATTTAATCAAAAATATCTTAATTTGGGTTTGGAACGACATGAGGGTGAATATTAATGACCGAATTTTCATTTTTGGGTGAACTATCCCCTTTAACAACAATGGCCATTTACTTTTAAACTGTAACATTTAGCATGTGCAGGATATTGCTGCATCAGCCAATGTGTTATAAATAGAAACATTTGCTAATTTAGTTTTTAATTTACACCCCGTTTTATTCAATAGGCCTACTTTTTGCAACTTCCATTTTGCCAAGATTCTTAGCCAAGAGTCTTCTCCCATAATGCAATGCGAGGTTGGAGAACACCTGATCAGAGACTATTCCATTAGACTCTCCAGATGCTTCAAATGCTGAGATCCATGTTAGTGCCTCTCCTCTTCAGTTCACCCCACTTATTTTATGGTTCAGGTCACTGGATTGGGACGGCAGTGGCAGAACCCATTTTTGTGTTAATTTTAATGTTTGTTTTGTATCCTTGCCTTGATGGAAGGTCCAACCACGGCCAATTTGTAAGATTTCTAACAAAGGCAGTCAGTTGGTTAGTTGACAGTCTGTTGGTATTTGATAGAATCCATGATGCCACGTTTAGAAAAATAGGCACAAAGCATTAAAAATCCGACAGTATATTTAACTGTGCTTTTTTATCCCTCTGAATCCCTTTAAACTCATCTCACGTGTGCCAAAAAGCTATTTTTTAGTTTCATCTGACCATAGAACCTGGTCCCGTTTGAAGTTCCAGTCATGTCTGGCAGCTGAATATGCTGGAGTTTGTTTTTGGATGAAAGCGGAGGACTTTTTCTTAAAACCCTCCCAAACATCATGTGGTGATGTAGGTGCTGTTTGATATTTTTTTAGGCTTTCCGAACCCAAGACTCAACGAATTTCTGCAATTTTCCAGCTGTGTTTCTTGGAGAGTCCTTGACCACTTAAACTATCCTTCTCACCATGCATTAAGATGATATGGACACAAGTCCTCTTGATTTGATTGGAATGCCTTAATTGTTGCCCTGATTGTTGAAATGGGAATTTTCAATGCTTAATCTATTTTCTTACAGGCTGTTTTTTGAAGCGTAACAATTTTTTGCTGCACATCAGAACTATATTCTAGTTTTACTAGTTTACTAGTCTAGTTTTTGATGGATGATTCAGGGAATTTGGCCTTTGTATTAACTCATATTTATACTTATGTGAAACAGGAAGTCATGGCTGGAAAATGTCATGTTTGTAGTCACTCTGGTGTGCTAAAAAGTACAGTAACTATGAATGGGAATATATTTCATGGGTATTTTATTCATAAGAATTTCTAGGGGTGCTAATAATTGTGGCCAGTGTGTAATGGAGAATAACTTTTATTTCACAATGTAATTTTCCCGCCACTTTCAATTGTTTTACTTCAATTTTGGGTTACATTTTTGTAAATATTTTGAACGAAAAACAATGCAGATTTTATTTTCACAACCACCATTGCTCATATTTACCAATAATTCCAACTTTTTTTAGGTCTCAATATAAGTTTTGTGTTTCCATATTTATTGTTCAATTGTTTGTGCATTACTGTATTTTCTGATTTCACAAAGCAATGATTTTCAGTGATGGAGAGCATGCCATTGACAGAGAAATGTTCATACGGTTTCCTGCAGCAACGCACAGCTCATTCCTTCAGGGCTCTTTAGGATAACATCACTCGTGCCACTGTGTGACCAAACACATTACGCATCTGTACATAAACAAATGTCCTCATTGAAGTTAGCTTCAGCAAAACTAATTATGCAGAAATATAACCAAAATTTGTAAAGTGCTTTGTAACATACAGATGGCTATGGCAAGATTACAGATCTGACAAATCCCATAGAGTGTGAGGTGACTGATTTCCAGTGAACCCTGAGCAATTACATCCAAGCTACTGCACAGTGGGACAACCTGGTAATAGGGTGACAGCAGTGAAAGATGACATGCAGGGAGGAAAAACGAGAGAATTCGAGGCTTCTTGGAGTCAGAGAACCCTGCAAGAATGAAAAAAGAGGTGTAAAGGAATGAGGGATGCGAAGCCTCCCCCTGAGCAAACACAGCTCTCAATCAGACACACCAATTTAGACCTGGCTCTCTCAAACACATTTGTGAAAGGAGCTCTTGAGCTGCAGAGTGAAGTCCATGCACACGAGTGCACACACACACATCTAAAGGCACTGAATGAGTCTCTTCAGAGCTCTGGGGAAGCAGGATGTTCCCCTTCAGGACATATTTGAGTCTTTCAGCTCTGGAGAGCCGGCAGGACTCCAGCAAACAAACACTCACAGTCACAAGTGTCCTAGTCCAAAACTTATGAAAAGTTTTTTGTGTTATTCTGCACAACATTATTCCTATTATGATGGCTAATTATTCTATTACATTATTGTATTAAATTATATTACATATATTATACACACACATTTATGTTTACATTTTGGGTGTTACTTGCCGTTTCTTTGTAATTATTTGTGAAATTTTCTAGCAATTTCTCAGTGAAAATGGTTTCAGAGTAGATTCTACACCAATTTCTTTCTCCTGCCCTGTGTGAGTGTGTTATACCTGCAGTTTCTTTGTGATAATTTCAAGTAATTAGATCCCACAATTAGAATGGCCAGTTGCTGAGTCGTGCACCCTAGCAAAATCACAGTGCTACTTTCATGTCTTTTGTATGATTTTGTGCAGTTTCTTTTTTTCATACCAATGTCAGTTAGAATAGCTATTTGGAGTCATTAGCAACTTAGGCTCTATTGACAGCATTCATCATGGCATTGTTGGTTTGGTGATGCTCGTAATGCTGTCAATAAGGCTTAAGTTGCTAATGGCACCAATTTGCTATTACATCAACATACAGGTTAATTAGTGTCATTATACGACTTAGCTTGACCACTGACTGTAATAAATTGGCCTTGGAGGACTTCAGTATTTTATCTCTCTCCCTATATATATAGCAAGGAAATGAAAATGACTCAGACGAGTAAAGAAACCAGTAATATACACACAAAATGCTAACTAGTAAATGAATGATGATTTATTATATTAAATTGTTGTTGTATTACATTGTAATAGACTTTTTTTTTGTTTTTTTGAGGTAACTCATAAGGTCATCCTGATCACGCTGTCAAGGTTCATTTTGCATTAATGACTAAATAGCTGCACATTATCGTTTTTTTTTTTTAAACCTAAATGAAAGTTTTTATTTGACTGAAAACTAAAAAGTGAAAGTAAAGTTTTGGTAATTCAGTTTGGGTAATTGGGTAACTGAACTCATGCTGTTCAGGATGTTTTGTGTTTCAGTTGTAAAAAAGTCACCTCTCGATATTTCAACCAATCAAATTTTGCATAGTGCTAATCTAGCATAATTTTGGTCACGGTGAAGTGTTTCAACACTGCTGACATGTTGACATGTTTATTTGTTGTAATTTATCCATGACGTGTGCACAAAATGTATCCACCTTATTTTTCAATGCGGAAGCAAGCCGTTTTCTGTGAATGTGCGAGACTTCCGGTTCATTAGCCACGGTAAGGAAATAACAAGAAGAATAACAAAAGTGCAGTAAACGGTAAAACTGTTTGCACTACAAACCAGTATGTTCATAATTAAGATAATACATTAAAATAAAATGGTAAGACACACCAGTTTGCAATATCAAGCAGTTGGGTGATATTAGTTGATAAGCAGTTGGTTGGTTACATGACTGCCATGATGTAGCTACACTCAAACCGGAAAAACTGTACTTATGCCAGTAATGAAATAAGACACAATTACTTGCTCATTCTGTATGCTGTATACAATACACTCTCAGAAAAAAGATACAAAAGCTGTCACTGGGACAGTACCCTTGTACCTTACTTACCCATAAAAGGTGCATTTTAGTAACTTAAAAGTGCAGATTTGTTCCTAAAGTGTACAAATTAGTAAGGTATATATTTTAGTGCTTTTTAAAAGAGTACTGCCAAAGTGACAGCTTTTGAACTTTTTTTTCTAAGTGTTATAAATTGTCTTTAGCATACATGCAAGTATGACATAGGAACTTAAATTTAAGTTGGTTAGAAAAAGGCATTTGTTTAATAAACTTCTTTTGTTCTGGTATTAAACTAATTATGTGTTCCTTAATTTAATGAAGTTTATTGAACAACTTTTTTAAAAGTGCTATTTAAATGTTAGTGTTTCAGATAATGATTTCAGCAATTTCAAAACCCATTTTGGCCCTTTTTTTTTTTTTCATTCAAATATTTTTGCCTATACCGAAATTTCGGCGCATCAATATTCTGCAGTAGTCAAATTCTCTCCCACTCTTGATAATTATTGGCTAAATAAACCTGAAATACTGAGTGTGGCCAGTATTGATTTAAAAAGAATGTGACAAGCGAGCACTGGTTTTGTTGTGTTTATTGAAAAGGTTTTGATTGACAGCATAATTCCGTCAGGCACAGACTGATAGAGTGTAAAGAGCTCGGAAGGGGCACAACTGAAACAGAACGGAATGTTCCACAGATACAGAGATATGGAAAAATAACACAAAACACTGTTAGTCAACTATTCCATTCTTTTGTTAAACAGAGAGGGATGCAGATGCTGAATGCATTTAATTCTGCAAACGTGTTACCTCACCGCGTAAAGAAAGAAATCTACCTGGAATGCAATGCAATTCTTCTGTAAGAAAATACTGTAAAGAAGCTTTCATCCCTATTAAAACAAAAAAAACCAAAACAAAAACACACCTATATAAAATCTACTCGACATATAACAATCATTTGCAAATTTAAATCTATAACTTAATTTAATATCTTAATTCTAATAAGAGCTGAATGGCACTATCAAATAGAGCTTAAGAGGAAAAAACAAATGCGTAAAATGAAAGAGTGTCGACATCAGACCAGTATTGCTCAACATCCAGCCACTTCCAAAGTGCTGGGAAACACATTGTCCTTTGAAACTGTCTGGATGTTCATTGTAAACATTTAAGAAAACTTTCTTCAACCCCTAAACGCATCTTGGCTCTACCTCCATCCCAAAACACACAAGCATGAAGGAATGAATAAGAGAAGGTCATGGAAGCAAGCGGATGAAGAAAAACAAAACATAAATACAAGGAAATAAATAATGTGGGTTTGTGACAAGGAGGGAGAAGGACCAGCAAAATAGTTTTATATGTTTGAAACAATGCAAAAGGGCTGTCAGTAGTAGAGCGGAGGATGCGGAGGTAAGCCAGAGGTTACAGGTTGTACAAAAAAAAAACGAAGCTGAGAGCGATCGCTTGCCCTGCCATCCCACACCACCAAACAGTAAACGCATAACTCCACACGTAATGGACAATCACTCAAAACACTGTATCCAACAGAACATGATGTCCCTCAGCTGGAAGAAGAAATTACAGAACAACGTCATCCATATCTTTAAGAACCCAATCTGAGAATTAAGGTAACGAAGTGCCTTACACATATGTACTCAGTTCTCATTCGAAGAAACACCCTGCTTATATCTTTTCTTGATGTGGCCGTACATTCAAACCGTACGTCGCAATATTCAGCCACTCAACTCCCTCCCAGGCACTTGACAAGTACAAAAATTCAATGGTTTGCAGGAGGAGGGAGCGACTGCTTCACTCGGCACCTGTACAGTCACCTCCTATCAAATCTACAGTTTTCGTAGTTTAGCAGCAAGTGAATCATCCTCTTTTTTCCCCCATTATATATTATTGCCGGTTTTCTGCTTGAATGCAATTGTCTGAGGACACCCTGAGACACGACCAAGCTATCCCATAATGCTTCGCTTAGATTCGCAGGGCCAGAGACACTCATCTGACAACCATGCACGCTAGAGTTGAATAGCAATAACGGTTCTGTACTTATTAACATAAAACTCAGAGCAGAGAGAAAGATTTTGGCACTTTGCAAACATACCGACCCGGAGGATTAACTCAAAATGTTATTATACATATTCATTAGCAAAAGAGCAAATAAGAGCGACAAACTCATAATATGGTTTCACCATATGCTATGGTAGGTTTTACCCACATAGCACTCCTTCATATCATAGAGCTGGATGAAAAGACCACAGCGCTCATAATCAGAGAAAACCAACACTGTTTTTTGAAATACTATGGTGAACGGATCTCATGCATGGAAGCCCAAATATGGAGATTTTTTTTTTAAATATACAAAAATGATGAAAAGTGCTTTAAGTGTGAGTCTGACTGGAGTTAAAAATACACACCGGTGCAGTTTCCTCATGAAGATCAGAAGCACTTGTGGTCCTTTTATCATTAAATTCAATACTGAGATACGGGCAAAGCAACTTCTGGCATACTTTTTTCGTTTTTAGAATTCATAATTTCATCATTTTGCTCTGCTGATATCGCCAATTAGCTTCTCATACATTCTTGTCACTGTAAACTAAGAAATGGAAGAAAACAAGCAAAAATAAAATACAACCCACCGGTTGAAATCTTGCACTTCTGTGGTAAATAACTTACAAAATTTAAAAGAAAAACCCTTTGTTTACAGCACCAAAACCCGACTATAATTTTAGACCCCCTTAAAAACCTTACGTCTATAAATAGCTTTACAAATATACATGTTAATTCAAATAAAACTTTTGTTTTGCTTTTTTAAGATTAAATGTTTACATGATCTCAACAGTGTATGCTCACTTGCTTTTAAAATGTCATTCTTTTTTCTTTAGGTTTTTTTTTTAAGTACACTGCTACCGACTGCAATATGATACATATTTATATCTATATATTTACAATAAAAACTATAAGATACGTACAAAGCACACAGTTATATATCTTCTAATTAAATCTCACATCTAGGAGACCTTTCTCTCTTTTCTTATTAAAAAAGGATGAAAAATGTTCTTTGTGAGGAGAGGAGTGGAGAGGAGAGACTGGCCATGGGTTTGATTCTCACTCCAGTCAGATATTGCTGTAAAACCACTTCCTGTCCATGTGTGACAGGACGACTCTGTCTGTTGCTTCAGAACCGTGCTGTAACACAGTGTCGATCCGTTCTTTTTGTTTCCTGTCCAGTAATTTGTCTGTTTTTTTTTTTGGTAGGCACGGAATGGTTTGACCCTTCTGACTGCGTCGCGCAAAGGAAAAGCGAAACTGGCCGAATATAAAAATAGGAATTCTCTTTTCATAGACAAAAAGCTGAATAATGATTTGGAAGAAAAGGAGCTGAAGGAGAGGGGCGTAATCTGTCCTTCAGACCTGTGAGCAGTTGGAAGTCTGAAGCTTCTCGTTGAGCGTTTCATGAGATCCACACTGAACCAGGAGCCCCGTCTGTACTGCCGCCACATGCTGGTCCAGTGCAGCGAACCGGAAGGTCCCCACAAACCACCATTTCTGTCCTGGGTCCTTATGTTCGTATGACCCCATTGCTGTGGAGGTGATGTTTAGGGAGGCAGGGCTCGTCAGGTAAAGGGTCGTGAGCAAACACAGAGTCGTCACCGGAGGAACAGGTGCTGTTGGAGTCTGGACAGGTAGGGGAATACTGTTCGAACGGCACCGACAGGTCCAGATACTCCTGATGGATGAAACACACACATCAGAATTGGCGAGTTCAGGTTAATAAGAGTTAAGGGGTTTGGTTTGCTGCACAAGAGCTCTTACATCAGTGGAGGTCATGGAAAGAACCCTGTCGTGATCCTCCACCAGCTGTCTGAACGTGGGTCTTTGTGAAGGAACAGCGTGCCAACACTCCCGCATAATCATGTACCTGCACAAATCACAACACGAAACAATACATGCATTTAATACATGCCAGAAATACAATTTTTATACTAATGGGTAATAGGTGCATCAACGTCATGTTGGAATTACTGTAATTATGAGATTCAGACTTGTAAAAAGCAGTTTTGTAATTACTTTTAATAACTCGTAAACTGACTTTTCCGAGAGCACATGCACAAAAAAAACTCTAAATGATGCCAGCATCAGGTAAATGTAGTTAAGCATTTATCTTGTAATATTTTATGTTTAATTCCTATAAATGACTATTGTTGATATTTTAATAATGCAAGAATAATCTGAAAGTAAATGATAAACAATACAGTTGAATAACTAATGTCCTGCTAAATAAACTAGCTTAGGCATTTGCACAACTATACACAACACAACACAATAAAACACTATACTTGTTTTATTGTGGGTTTGTCTATTGATTACTCAAATTACACAGATTAACGGCCATATAAACATCATTTTGAGTTTGAGGATGTGAACAGTTTTCGAATAGAACGTCTGGATTGTTATTACAAAGTACAGTAATTAGGACATGAAGGCAGCAAATATTGAATTGTGACGTTTCTGATAAAAATAAAATGCATTTTTTTTTTTTAGAGTTCAGGTTTGCTTGTTTGTCGGGCTGCACAATTTGTTCAAAAAATGTTTTTTTTTTGTGTGTGTGTGTGTGTGTGTGTTATTTTGTGTTACTATTATAAATAAATAAAAAATATTTTTTACGATTGTAATAATATTATTTCACTGTAAAATAAAGGAGTATTTGAGCTCTCTCTTTCTCTATCTCTCTCTCTCTCTATATATATAGTATTGTATATATATATATATATATATATATATACACACACACACGCACGCACGCACGCACACACACACACACAATACTATATACTATATACACAACACACAATACTAAATGTTTTTGGCTACCTTAATTTCTTCATTTTGAAACATTAAACCGTGGAGCTTTATTTATTTGTTTCTTCTCTCTTTTATATTAAACTAAATTGTAGCTTTTGTGATTTAATAATCGCACTAAATCATATTGGTATTAATCGTTCAGCCCTATTTTACAGCTTTATTTTAAGAGAAGAATAAGAAGGTCTTAAGAGTTTTCTAGATGAAAAGCAAAGAAGATCAAAAGCGTACAGTTCATGAGTGCAGTTTGCAGGTTTGTCCATCCGATGACCCTCCTTCAGCAGTTTAAAGAGCTCCTCCACTGGGATACCTGGGTACGGTGAGCCGCCCAGTGTGAAAATCTCCCACAACAACACTCCGTAAGACCACCTGAGATGCAAGAGAGGTCACAGTTCAGAGCAAATAAGAGGCAACAATCACACATTTACAGTACAGTACAAAACATAAGTCCAATTCAATGATAAATGAAATGTCTAAACACTTGTTAGGCCTATATATGCTGATTGTGCTTGAAATAGTAGAGTCACAATACTCTCACTATCTGTCTGTCTGCCTGTCTCTCTCTGGGGTGTAGATACTTGGCAGATGTGAGAGAGGAGTTTTGTTGGTTCTCACTGAGGCTTATAATGTATGTTGGTGATATGAGACGTGAGTCTATTAAACTAGAGTGAGTGTGTGTGCGCACATATGTGTATATGGGTGAGTGTTATCACAAGCTGCTCTGTTAACTCAGGGCTCTTTTGTTTTGGCCCCATTCCTCCCACGCCACCACTGAGCAGTGCTAATCAAATTAGCCACGCTAAGAGACAACAGGAGCTATGAGCCAGCTAATGCTACCCGGCCAAACACACACACACACACACACACAGTCAGTTAGAAGCCTTATGGGGGCTGAATAATTGGCTCGTCATTATATCACTATCCATTCATTAGCTTTATGTTGGAGTCAAATCTCATTTACGCCCATCAGCGTGGTGCTCACACAAACTCACACACATACAGAGCAGATCGAGTGAATGAATGGCTCACTGCTCATATATCATAGCATAAGTACAGCCTATAGGCAGAGGCAAATTATATTATTCTATTACTGCTGTCTCAGGCCAACTGTGATTAAAGAGTATTTAGACATATTGGAAAGTGCAGCTCCGGGTACCAGTCTGAGTGTGATGAATGGGTGTTCGGTCTACTGAGAGACAGTGTGTAGTATACTAACATACTAATCAAAACCTGCTGTGCAAACACAGACACACACACTACCGTTCAAAAGCTTGGGGTCAGTGAGATTTGTTTTTTTTAATTGAACACATTTATTAATCTATTTAAGGATGCATTCAATTGATCAAAAGTGACAGCAAAGACATCTATAATGTTACAGAAGGTTTCTATTATAAATAAATGCTGTTCTTCTGAACTTTCCATTCATCAAAGACTCCTGAAAAAAATATATCACAAAAATATTAGGCAGTACAACTGTTTTCATTGATAATAAGATAATACTAATAATAATAACATTGATAATAGTAAGAAATGTTTCTTTATCACTAAATTAACATATTATGATGACTTCTGAAGGATCATGTGACACTGAAGACTGAAGTAATTATGCTGAAAATTCAGCTTTGCATCACAGGAATAAATTACATTTTATAATATATTTAAATTGAAAACAGTTACTTTAAACTGTAATGATATTTTACAATATTGATGTTTCTACTGTATTTTTGCTCAAATAAATGCAGCCTTAAGATCATAACTTTCCCACATTTCTGAACGATAGACTAGATGCTAGATGCACTAGATGCACAAACACCAATGTTTCCTATACAATTCAGATTTTTGTAATATATATATATATATATATATATATATATATATATATATACACACACACACACACATTTATATTTATGTAATAACATATTTATGCTGATTCATTACATGATTTTTTGTGAATTAGACTACACTAGTCATGCTGTATGTTTATTGTTGAGTGCAGCCTGCAAAAGAACAGAAAGATGTGTTGTCTTTGTTTTATTTCTCGGTTCTCAGTCTTTTTAACTTAGGTCAAATATGTTTTTTTCACATCTCTGAACATCGCCGGTGAATTCCAGTGTAGGAAACACTGGCACGCTCTCTTGGATGGCTTTGATGCTATTGTTGCAGGGTTATGGTGTTCACTTGCATTCCTTTACCGTTTGATGAACTTTATGAACAGATGGCATGAAGTGATGGAGGAAAAAAGAAGAGGTATGCATGGCAATGTAAACTCACACATCGCTCTGGTGCGTGTAGACGCGGTCGAACAGTGCTTCTGGTGCCATCCATTTGACAGGCAGACGACCCTGAAAGGACACAGAACAGTCAGAACAAGAGTGGTGCTGACCCAGATAGACATACAGACGCCCAACGAACATCAACAGGCCTGCAGCTTAATCTCCTACTGTCCTGTCTAATGCAAATACACTTCAGCAGTCCGCATCAACATCGTTCCGCTCTCCAGTGCTCTCTAATCTCCAACTGTCCCATCCAATATCCAAATACTTCACCAGCCACACCCCACATCTAAAACCCGCCGTCACAACACCTAACAGTTCCATTAAACACATTCCGTTTATTGCACCAGTGTTAGGGAAGCTAAGATTATCTTGCTAAAAGCTATTATAAGCATATTTAAGGTACTTCAACTACAGTAAAACCAACTGTTTAAAAAGGAGAAAGCACACTACATGCTATTAACAAAAATTTAACTACAATGAAGGTATATAAGCAATTTCATTTAAATTATAACCTATAATCAGTGCTGGGAAGTAATTGATTAAATGTAATCTGGATTACGCAATCAGATTACAAAAATTAAGTACCTGTAATTAGATTATACTATATTTTAAAATGTTTATTATCAGATTACAGTTACTTTTTTATGGATTACATGATTACATATTGTTCAAACAAAGATAGTAAATTATTTATAATTTATTGACTCTCCCTAATTATTCTTTTTTTCTCTTTTGAAATTTACTTTCTAGAAAACCCTACTGTGTTTAATAGCATTTAGCTTTGACTATATTAACAATATAGAATGGCCATTTAAATGGCAAGTAAATAAATTGGTGATCCATGCTTCTAAAATTGGGGACAAAAGCACCTCTCAATGAGTTAGGCAATGTATGTGATGGATAATTATGCAAGTTACTAACACTGCTGATATATAGCTGTGAAACACTATATCTCCATCATATCCAATGACTTTTACTAATTATTGATTTGGACAAATGTCTGGACAAAAATATAAAAGTAAATAACATAAAAATCTAAGAGTAATCAAACAGTAGTCAGAATACATTACCTAAAATGAGTAATCTAACATATTACATTACTAACTACATTTTTTTGTCATGTAATTTGTAATCCGTAATGGACTACAATTTGCCAGCACTGCCTATAATTTTCAGATTACATGACTAAAAATAGCCAAGTCACTATTTTCAATCCCAAATGTATATTCTGCAACAAAAAAGACACAGGAATGAGTTCAGAATGAGTTCTACCGACACAAAAGGTGCTGATTCTAATGACTCTGTGAATCATTTTTAAATCACAATGAATGGAAAACAAGTGTTTTTTTTTCCACAGCTAAGCTAATGTCATGTTACTGAAAATGTAGTGAAGTTACTGTAGCAGCACCCCTAGTCTTAGCTAGTTGCTTCCCAGTAGCTACTGTATTTCACAATGTACTGCAGGCCAGGTAAACATGATGTGTTCAATACTGCCCAGTCCTCACCAATACCCACACGTTCGTATTACCAACTCCAGACCTCAATCAACAGTTAATTCATTCTCATAAACGCACCTTCAAAAGTTCCTAAACTAAGCACACACAAAATTCAACACCTGCAGGCTTGACATTTGAAATACAGTGCGTAACCACATCCGCTGTGTTTCAATCCAATGCCACCCAAGAGCGCTATCCTTCAAGCATTCTGAGATTGATAATAGTGTCGACTTACGTTGGTGGTCTTCTTGTAGTAGTCAATGTTGTGCACATCTCTAGCCAGGCCGAAGTCTGCAATCTTCATCACGTTGTCCTCGGTTACCAGAACATTCCGAGCCGCAAGATCCCTATGGATACACTGGCAACACAAACAGAAAGAGGGCCATCTTTTATGCTCAAGTCTGATAAATACACACTATGATGTACACATCTGGAAAATAATAACTGGCATCCGTAGACAGCATTTATAAACTTTATAAACAATTCAAGCATATTAAATTATTTCTATTTGAAAAAGTTTACAAACTGAGATAAGTAGATGTGTTACCTTCTTTGAGGCCAGGTACTCCATACCCCTGGCGACCTGATAGGCGCAGGACACCAGATCTTTAAATGTCAGAGTTTCATTTGGGATTTTACAAGTGTCAAATGAGTAGTCCATCCCAGGAGGCCTTCTCGCCCGCAAGTATTCCCTAAGATTTCCTTTAGAGGCATATTCCACCAGCACATACAGAGGACCTGCGTGAACGCAGTCAGAAACAATTCAGTCAGAAAAATCTAAACTGACAAAAGCTAAACATACTGGAAAAAAAGCCTGGATACTGCATACTGACCATCTTGTGTGCACGCTCCCAGCAAGTTGATGATGTTCTTGTGTTTTCCAATCATCTTCATCATCTCCATTTCAGACACAAGGTCCGAGAGGTCCTTATCTGTGCCGTCATCTAAGAAAACAGTAAAATATTATTACAATTTATAAGAACTGTTTTCTGTTGTAATATATTTTCAAATGTAATTTATTCCTGTGATGGCAAAGCTGAATTTTCAGCATCATTACTCCAGTCTTTAGTGCCACATGATCCTTCAAAAATCATTCTAATATGCTGATTTGGTGCTCCAGTAACATTTCTTATTATTATCCATGTTGAAAACAGTTGTGCTGCTTAATATTTCTGTTGTTTTTGTTTTCATTTTTTTTTCAGATTATTTGATGAATAGAAAGTTCAAAAGAACAGCATTTATGTGAAATAGAAATCTTTTTCAGAAAAATGTTACTGACCCCAACATTTTGAATGGGAGGATATATTATTAGTATATTAGTATTTATTATTTAATTACAGTTAAGCACTCTCACTGTATTTATGATTTTTTTTGTGCACTGGGACTAATGTTTCTTTTATGCTTTTTGGCATTCAGTAAAAAACAAATATAATTTATACTATCTGGAATTTAATTTATACACACTCACCTTTGAGCATCTTGACAGCAACAGTGAGAGGTTTGTTGGGTTTCTCTTTGTCAATCCCAATGGCTTCAGCCATCACTACCTGCCCAAAGCAACCCTCTCCCAACGGTTTTCCCAGCGTTAGTCTGCAACAGAATCATCAATCAGCAAGGGACAAAACTCACAAATATTATGGTCATTTGATGTTCACTTCAGGTTGTAACTCACTTAGTACGTGAAAACTCCCACTTGGGGTCAGAGGGCAGTTCAAGTTCAGAAACGTTGGGCAGCATGGGCCCATCACCGGATGACAGGCGGGCGATCCGGACCAACGGGGTGTTTGAATTCATGGAAGAGTTAGATTCCAAGGACACCTGCTTGGGTAAAGAATAAAAACAGCATGTTATTGTCCCTGAAAGAGAATAAGACCGTGAAAATAAGAGCAAGACAGAGAGAGGAAGTGTGGGGAGAGTCTTCTGCGTGTTCATCCGCATACGGCAGAGGATAATGATGACCATGGTGAGGATGAAGAGCACGCAGCCTGTCACGTAGATGAGGATGTCCGCATAGTCATCCTCTCTCTTCATCTCTACCGCTGACACAGAGCACAAGCGCACAGGTTAGATGTGCAATGATGACATTATGAGACAAATGTACCAATGTGTTGCACTATAGATGAAACAATGACTGTTGTGAGTGGTAGTACGTCTGAATTGCATTCATACAATACACCATACTATTTAGAACATACTTTCTAAACGGCTGCGAATTAAGTTCTTATTTCAAAGAAGTACCTACTCAGAAATATGTGAATTTCAGACACAACGATCGATTAAAATGTTTTAAAATGGCTCACTTTTCTATTAGTGTTGTCTATTGTCAAGGTTTGAGCGCTTAACAAGTGCCAAATGTAAGTAATATTTGATGAGCTTTGCTTTGATGAGAAAATAACTGCATTTTTACTGGGGACTGCAACATAATATAATAAATCAAAGTGTGATAATGTCTGATGTAAGCAACACAAATGATTCAAAGATATACAAACCATCTTCAAACAACTTTTCCTCAGTGCAAAATCTGCCTAAAAGTCTCGAGAACTAAATGTGGCAAGACACATGTGGAATATAAAATTAGAGGAACAAAATCTGCTGAGGGGCAATTAGAAATATTTTTTGGCCAGTAAATTTTCTCAGTTCATCCACCTATGTGGCAAAAGGTTCATTTTGGACCCTGTTTATTTCTAATACACATAACCACAAAATTCAGTTTATCAACTTGAATAAAACATGAAACCCAACTTAAATCGGCTACTAACTACAGCCTCGAGACTTTCATTTAAAAAGAGAGTAACTTTAGAAATAAGCCCCACTAATGGTTAGATTAGAGATCATGTTATTGTTTTGTTCAAAGTTATAAAGCAGAAAGCCTGCAGTTAATTTACAGCCAACTTACAAACTAATTAACATGCTATCGCGCCCCCATGCAGGTACAAACATCCCATAATGCCCCTCTCTCTGGGGGGTTTATTTGGCACTTGTGTGATGAGCCCCACAGATAGAGTTCAGTGGCTCTACACGAGACGAGCGATTTTAATTACAGCAGCAGAACGGAGAGCAGGATAACAGGATGAGCGCAGAGGATGTAAGAATTAATGAATCGGGCCTCACAGATACTGGGACTGTGTGCCATCAGTAAATACTCCAGTAAACACGACAAGCACTTCCATCACGAGCGCGTGTGTTATCGAGTGGAAACAGTCTATGAGAAAAACCCATCATCCGTCTTTTTTCTCTGCATATGTCATGTTCAAATCTGAAAACAATTACAAACTACCGGGTTGTTTTTCAGAAGACTTTAATCAGGGTGGCATATTTAATTTGACGTAAATAAAAACGAGACTGCAGTCTGCCCTGGCTAAGGTCCATAGAGAATATCATTGAAAACATTTCAAAAACATTTGAACTGTAAAACTATGAACATTCAAGGACAACAGAGAAAATAGGAAGTGTGGAGACATGGGAAGAAAAGGAGTGAAGAGAAACCCCAGAAAGTGAGACTAGTATACCTGGTAACACTGTAAGCCAGGCAGAGTGATGGTTATAGCCAATCGAGTTCCCTGCCAGACAAGTGTATTGCCCCGCATCCTCAAAAGACACATTGGTCAGGTAGAGAATCTCCAGCTCTTTATCCGTAGTATTTATTCCCGCAGTCTGGAAAAGCAGGGAGAGATGGAGAGAGAGAAAGACAGATGCGTAAACCACAACCCTTGGGAAAAGAGCAGACCCGACACCGGGAGGAAGATCTGAACCAGAGTTAACCCATCACCAGTAACCCAGAAATCCCACAATCCTGCACATGAAGAGATGACCTAGAAGCAAAGTAAAACCCCAAACCCTGGTGGAAAATTCAACGCCCCATCAGCAGCAGCAGATCACATTCGTTTTCATCCAGATCTGTTTGAGGTGCAAAGAAAAAGAGCGGGGAAGAATATTACCAGCTTTAAGCCTAATATAACCTCTCACTAGATACTAGAAACTGACCTATTTATGTAGAAGTGTGTGTCCCAATACTCAAGAGAGCTGTGTGTAGTGTATGAGAAAATTAATAAGAAAGTGTGTGTGGCACAGTCTCGGCTCCTATTAAACATGCTCTTGTTGCATTGATTGGGGAAGAAGAAGCAGTGAGCATTTAAACGAAGCAGACACACACTCGCCTTACATAACAAGTCCTTGAATCAGGTCACCTTATTTATTGTGTGAAAAAGGGACGAGAAGAGCAGGGAGAAACAGAGGGAGTTTAGGGGAATTTGACTCTACGCCACCAAAGTCTTGATTGACAAATCAAGTTTGGAAAGTTTGGAAAGAGATTTTTACCTGGCTGGGACACCATGAGCCAGAACGTATTCTCTGACATGCCTACAAAGTTGTGGGCTCTGCAGCAGTACTGGCCTGCATCTTTTTCTGACACATTATACAGAGTCAGCATATCGTGGGCCTCTTTTACCTTACTGATAAAACTCTGCAGAGACACACACACACACTTAGTCAGAGGCGAACACGTTCACACATGAACAAACACTTAATGATTTAAAATGCTCCCGCAGCTTGTTCTACCTCTTTTTCAAGATGCTGATACACTTAGGGGCAAATTCACAAAACAGTTGCGCCACTCTGGTTTTTTAGTGCAAAAACCTAGTAACCTCCCAAAATCCAGTTTAACCAGGCATTATCTGCACTAGTACAGGAAGTTGAACAGTACTTGAATTTGATCTTAAAAGACTTAAAATAAAATTTACTAAATACATTTACATAAAAAAATTATTTTTTTAATTAATTATAAATTACATTTTTTAAAAATCTACTTCCTTAAAGTCAAATTCAAATTAGAATTCCTGTTTGCTACCTCAATTCAAATGCACAAACTCAACCAAACCGAAACCGAATTTGTTTCTGAATGGCATTTATCACTGTACATCATTAAAATTTAAATGAACTCATTGTCATTCTTTTCAGGTCAAACATCTTCCTTCCAATTAGGCTTCTTATAGATTGTGGCTTATTCACAAAACGTAGAGCAATTAATGTTACTCTATTATCAACAAATGAAAGCAGCAAAATGTCGTGCTGTTAACAGATTTGCATAATTCCTTATAATCAGGTAACTAAACCAACACAGACAGTGCATGCAAATACACAACACTCTCAGCGGATGCAAACTGCAACCCATGAAGATTTACTGTATATGTGCAATTTGCTCTTTATTTAAAAAACTAAAAATTACGGGATAAGAACAGGAACGAGCTTGGGAAATGTTGCGAGCTGGATTCAAACTGATTCCACCTGTATTGGCACCACAGCTCAACACGCTAACTGCTAGGCCATCGCTCTGATGTCACTATATGTTATAACTACATGCTCAAATATCATCTTCAGTCCCACACATATCTGCTTCTGTGTTTCTTTCAGACGCTTCATTTGCTTTATTCTCAGTTTCCGTTCTTTCCCTTGATCGCAGGCGTTGCATTACACATGATCTGTCGCTCAGCACTCTCGGTCTGGGAGGGCTGGGGAAGGCTTTAGAGGGTGCGCAGATGAGACTGCGGGGAAGGGAAAAGCCGGCGCGCGGCTCCCAGTAAAATACTGTTTCAATTATGTGGGAGTCTAAAATAGCGTGGCGGTCTGGCCCGCCAACGCACTCCCCTCCTCTGCCTGCTGACTCGGCCCTTCCCTCGCTTCCCGCACTCATTTTTTCCATGGCTTTTTCAGGAGCCTCTTCCCTTGTTCCCTCCCTCCCTCTCCTCTAATGGCTGTCTCCCTGCGCGACGCCACCGCGGCGGTTAGCTTAGCCTAAAACAGATGTCTGCCTTCCTCTGAGCGGAAAAAGAGAGTGAGAGACCCCTAATTCTCCAGTTGCAGAGTCTATAGTGAGATGCTAACATGGGTGGGATTAGGAGTCGAGGGAGGTGCTCTAAGAGTCACATGAGAGTTAATATGTGGTTTAATTTAAGCTGCACTTGGACACATTTCAAAAAATGCCTTCAACATCTATGATGGACCATTCTAACAAGCAAAAGCTAAAAATGTTTTCATCATAAAAGTTTCAAGAAAAAACCCCCCAAGAATTGCAATGAAAAAATTAAACTATAATCTAAACGTTTAAATCATTGTCATCGTAACAAATCACAATTACCATAATATTAATAAAAAGGCATACTAAAAGTTTTTTGAAAAAACAAAGTTTGAATTATCCTCTTAAAAGTGGTTCATTCATGCATTCTTCTGATACTGTACCTTAAGAATGTGGACATAGGGGACGTCATTGGGCCCATACTGGCTTCCATTCACCTCGATGTGTTTGAGCCACTGGATGTGTGGCTGAGCATCACTATACACCTTACAGTGGAACTCGACATCACTGCCCACCACCACCGTCTGATTGGCCGGGAGTCCCGCCTGTAGGATGGGCCGGTGAGGAGAGCGCTCTGATTGGACGAGAGATGGAGAGACGGAGGGCAGTCAGCAATGAAGGTAAGTGATTTAAAGTTTGAATGTGTGTGGGTTGCGTGTTCATACCCAGCACGTCGAGTTGGTAAGTGTGTTTGATTATCCCGTATTTGTTTTGCACCACACATGTGTAGTTTCCCCGGTCAGATGGAACGGCACTCTCCATGACCAAACTCCACTGCTGATGCCTCAACTAGAGAGAGAGGATGATAGAGACAGAGTTTTATTCATAAAGTATTACATAAGAGGTCCACTTGAATCCTTCCTCAGGTTTTTCTGTTAGCTGAAGAAAAGCAGGTGCTAAATTCTGTGTCTGTATAATGTTATGACTATGATCCACTGTGCTGATAAATCTGAATTGAAGTTGAATTAAGGTTCCAAACAGGACAATTTGAATGTAAGCAAACAGAATTTAAATGAATTGAAATCCATATACTGGAATTTTTAACTAGAAGAGCAAAGTTTGTCAAGACTATCTTTGAATGTTTGCTATACACTGGTTTGTTTAAAAGAGAGACAGACAGACAGACAGACAGATAGATAGACAGACAGATAGATAGACAGACAGATAGATAGATAGATAGATAGATAGATAGATAGACATGCCTACTTTTGTGTTTCACTTGAAAAAGCATACAGAGAACAACACAAGGATGTGAACATAATAACACACTTATTTATTTATTTTTAGGTTTATTTTGGAATACCTTTAACATCACCAGACATGGAAAGTATGCTAATTGGTCAGAAAGTGACGTCATTGGGCCCATACTGGCTTCCATTCACCTCGATGTGTTTGAGCCACTGGATGTGTGGCTGAGCATCACTATACACCTTACAGTGGAACTCGACATCACTGCCCACCACCACCGTCTGATTGGCCGGGAGTCCCGCCTGTAGGATGGGCCGGTGAGGAGAGCGCTCTGATTGGACGAGAGATGGAGAGACGGAGGGCAGTCAGCAATGAAGGTAAGTGATTTAAAGTTTGAATGTGTGTGGGTTGCGTGTTCATACCCAGCACGTCGAGTTGGTAAGTGTGTTTGATTATCCCGTATTTGTTTTGCACCACACATGTGTAGTTTCCCCGGTCAGATGGAACGGCACTCTCCATGACCAAACTCCACTGCTGATGCCTCAACTAGAGAGAGAGGATGATAGAGACAGAGTTTTATTCATAAAGTATTACATAAGAGGTCCACTTGAATCCTTCCTCAGGTTTTTCTGTTAGCTGAAGAAAAGCAGGTGCTAAATTCTGTGTCTGTATAATGTTATGACTATGATCCACTGTGCTGATAAATCTGAATTGAAGTTGAATTAAGGTTCCAAACAGGACAATTTGAATGTAAGCAAACAGAATTTAAATGAATTGAAATCCATATACTGGAATTTTTAACTAGAAGAGCAAAGTTTGTCAAGACTATCTTTGAATGTTTGCTATACACTGGTTTGTTTAAAAGAGAGACAGACAGACAGACAGACAGATAGATAGACAGACAGATAGATAGATAGATAGATAGATAGACATGCCTACTTTTGTGTTTCACTTGAAAAAGCATACAGAGAACAACACAAGGATGTGAAAATAATAACACACTTATTTATTTATTTTTAGGTTTATTTTGGAATACCTTTAACATCACCAGACATGGAAAGTATGCTAATTGGTCAGAAAGTTAAAAAAAAAGTAAAAAAATCCTTTTGTTTACACAAACCCTTCACCTCCTACACACATACATATGCATACACACACACACACACACACACACACACACACATATAACCATCCATTCATTCATAGAGCACATTCTAATTGCATATATGTCTCTCTCTCTCTCTCTCTGCTTCTTTCTGTTTCTCTTGCGCTCTGTCTCTCTATCTCGTTCCTCCTCTGCGTACTTCGAAGTTCTGAGTGGAAAAAAATGTAACTGTGTAAATATTATGGACTGTGTTTTTGAACAGTTGCATGGTAACACTGCCTGAGCGGGCAACATGCACATAGACAAACACACATGCCTAAGAAAGTTGGCAAGGGCGCCTGTGCCCCCTGCATTTCTCCTTCCCCTTGTCTTCGAGATCCTCACCTTCTCACAGGCTGCTCTCGCTGGCTCGCTCTCACTCAGTGAGGCTTCGGTGTTTGCTGATTTACACGGTGAACAGCATGAGAAATGTGTGTGAGTGAATGTCTGTATGGGAGTAGTTGACATTTAATGTGTCCATTGACTTTTTAAAATCAAGATTTTAGGTTCAAATTAATGTAAATGTGTGAGGGAAATTGTATTGTATTGCCCTGTAACTAGTGATAATTTATTTTAAACACCTTTATGCTAAGTAGTTCATTCTAAATAATCCTGAGGCTTATTATTTTTTAAAAGTACAAATATTTAATGTAGTCTCTCAACCAATAAGATGTCATAGAGACTACATAAAAATAAATAAATAAATAAAACTAGCCAAATGCTTTTCAGAATAGTTTTAGAAGAATTATATGATTTTTTTAATTATATTAATTTTTATTTTATTTTATTTTTTAAATTATATTATTATTATTTTTTATTATTGCTGGTTTAGCAACTTTAGACTAAAGGAAATAAATATTACTCTGAGCTATACATCAACTCAGCTCAGCTCCCCTTTCAGTGAAATCCTAGATTCGCCTTGTTAACTTCCCAAAAGTATTAATGTCAACTACCCATGTGCAGTGAGACTGTAAGAGAGCGAGAGTTAATTTAGGACCCTATCTTACTTGACACTGAGAATTAGTGTGTGTGTGTGCGACATTTATCTCAGTGTGTCTGCTCAAAAAGAAATGCTGTGACGAATTCTCAGCTGTTCCTCAATCTACCCGAACACTTTATCCAGAGGGAATGGGAGGAGAGAGTTAGTACATTTATCCCATCCTTCATCAAAAGATAAGAGCTGAAAAGTGTTGCAATGTCGTGCTGGACCCCAATGATTCAGAGAAAAAACAGCACAAGAAAGACCCAAGCAGAGGTCTGATAATCAGTCGAAAAGCGCTGCTCAAATTCCTCCCGGCATTACGCAGTTAACATATTAAGCCTCTTTAAATCGGATGTCAGACTGGGGTTAGGAGGTAAGACCAGTGCGTTGGATATTCAGCTGAATTGTGAACTGCAGAGAATATTGGTAGTAAAGGGTCTCCGGGGGTGCCAAGTAGCTCAGGTCTCTCTTGAGTATGTGTGTTTGTATGTGTATGTTCAGGATTTATGGTTGTGTCAAAACGGTGCGAGCTCGTTCCAATAGTGGTGCTGTTTAATTTGACCCACAGAGACAGGAAGCAAAAACAACTGACCCCAGGGCGAGTCATTAAAATGACAAAACTGTTTATTTTTTCTCTCTCTCAATGGAAAGTAGTACAGTAGTCTCACTGGAAACACCCTGTTTCACCATTAAAACAAGCCATCAATACTGTACAGATGACCCATAATCATACACACCCTAATATGAAAGTCTTCTCAGTTCATATTGATAAAGATAACTATCACCACTTAAAGGTGAAGTGTATTTAGTGGTCACTAGTGGCAGAAAAAAAAATTCAAACAGGTTTCACAAAAAAATGTTGGTTGAGAGTTTTGTTTGTGCCAGTTTTCTAGACATGCAGAGCAGAATAATGTATTCTTATTTGTTTCTGAGTTTTATATGTAAAATTATCTGTATTTATTACTTTTTCCACACCAGTCTATCATTGTGGTATCAATATAAACGCACCCTAAACAACAACTGGTCATTTGTTGTTTTGTCAGTCAGATAGAAATGCAGTCATTTCAATAGGAATCCACATGACTGGAAATTATGCATTAAGGTAAACAATTTCCCTATGCAGATTTCAGATTGGATTCAAGATGGTTAAGCAAATTGGCAGTGCTGACCAACAGAAAGCTGATCAGCTTACTTCTTAGCTTACTTCTGTGTAAACTGTACTTCATATACTGCTATGATATCGACAAAGGACCTTTTTTGCCCACAAATGCCCAAAAAGCTTTATTGGGAAGGAGCTGCAAAGTGGACTAGCCTTATGTTAAACAGCAAAAAAATCAGGCTACATGAGAATAGTGAACATTAAACACTTGACCTTTAAACATATTTTTTACACATAAATGAATAACAAATTGCACCTAAGCAGTTAATAAAGACATACACTGCTGTGGCCTACAGACAAAAGGCACATTTGTCGGTGGATTAGATTCACTGATGCTCCAAGCATGTAGAATTTAGCGCTGGTGGTCCCACAGAGCAGTGCGTCTGAAATTGAGTCATCTCTCGGAGGAGGTAACAGTCTTTCTTCACCTCGCTCGTCAATTGAGCTGTTGAATATGTTGCGAGCCGCTCACATACACACACTCAAACGCAGCGTTTACACAAAAAATCAGTGTGTATGTGTGCGTGAGGTGTGACTAACCCACAGTGCCACAGATTAGCATTCTAACAATGTGACTTCGGCTGCCATATGTGAACATGACAAAAGCCACGCCTTTCCCTGCCAATCAAGGTCTCTAAATCGCCACAACAACACCCTCTCGAAACCTCCCCCTTCTGATGACTCAATAGAGAGTTGACCTTTGACCTTAGAACCCTGCCAGTCAGGCACAGAAATTTGTGTCTGTTTGTATGTGTGTGTTTGTGCTGTGGGAAAGTCAACTGTCTAAACAAAGCCATGCATCATTTCAAACAATGAGAGTACGGCATGTGACTCATTTTCTTGCATTTAAAACTCATTCGGCAATCTTACCGCATTTAGTCAGCAATTAACGTGCCCTGACCGTCGGCCAGAGAGTTAGTCGAACTTACAACCGGCTCCAGTGCCAACAGAAACATAATCACAGCATTATTGTTCCCCTTGCAATGCAAAAAAGAGCTTTAAGATGGAATACGCTGATCTCTCAGGGAACTCCTCATGTTTAATTTCGCATAACGCTCTGCATTTTAACACATCGTTGAGTGCGTTATCAAGCCATCAGGCCTGTCATATCCACACACACAAGGGGGTCACACATCCTTTTGCATAAATATAAGAGCAGTGACTTTTAGCCTGGGTCTTAATAGAGACAGAAGACATTCAGGGTGAGCTGTCAAACTCCTGTGTATGTGTGTGTTAAATAAAGCTATTATGATGCTGTCAGAGATCTTTATGCCAACAGTGACTGTGCTGATGCAGAGGACAGGCCTGGTATAAAGGATGACCCTGGGTCAGTGCGGACCCCTGGTGTGTGTATACGTGTGTGTGTTTGTAAGGGCGGGCCGGTCACACTATGGCCATGGAGAGGTGGAGAGGTCAATGTTTTGTTTCTAAATGTCTCTCTTAGAGGACTCTGGTTATATTCTATGCATACAGGTCAATGCAATGCAATGCTGTGTTAAAGAATCTAAATGTGCAAATGTGTGTGTGCAAAAAGAAGTCACTCAGAAGATTCCAGTTGTGCTTTAAGTGTTGAATTTGTTTCAGGTGTTTCTCCTAAAATTCTGTTTAATTTAGAAACAAATTGTTGACATACAATGGGAGTATAGAGGTATAAAATAAATGTGGATAGCAAAGCTTAGAATATTTGGTCTGGGAAGAACTTAATGAGTAATACTTTATATTGAGCTCTTTTGATTTCAGACTTTCATATCTTTGCAAATCTGAGCACAGTTTGAGATCTCATCTGAAGAGGGGATGTCTGAAATTACTGGTGTCTTTTAATCAGGAGAAAATTCTATAAAAGTCTTCAGTGAAAGTCTCAATTTGTTTTCAATTTCATCTCAAGGCTATCTAGGAGAAACAACTGAGATATTAAAGACTAGGTGTAATTCATGATTTTTCCTTTCCAATAGGGAAAATGTGTGCCTCTTCAAGAAAATTGTGTTTAATAATGCTATTATTTAGGCCTATTATTTATTTTTTTATATAGTATTTAAAGGGGTAATTCACTGAAAAATCAAAATTCACAGAAACGTCATGAACTCATGCACATGTAGCTGCAAACCTTTATGACCTACTTTCTTCTGTGAAACATAAAAGAACCAAAAATAAAAACAAACAAACAAAAAACAAAACAATAAAAACAAAAAAATTGTCTTTTTTGCTCCTGAGAAGAAAAAAGTCATACATGTTTGAAAGGAGAGTAAATGATGTTTTATTTTTGGGTGAACTATCCCTTATATTGTGGTGGTTAAATCATTGAACATTAAGGAGCAACAGCCCTGAGAGATTAAAAAAATGTCAATAATACAGGTGCATCTCAATAAATTAGAATGTCGTGGAAAAGTTCATTTATTTCAGTAATTCAACTCAAATTGTGAAACTCGTGTATTAAATAAATTCAATGCACACAGACTGAAGTAGTTTAAGTCTTTGGTTCTTTTAATTGTGATGATTTTGGCTCACATTTAACAAAAACCCACCAATTCACTATCTCAACAAATTAGAATATGGCGACATGCCAATCAGCTAATCAACTCAAAATAATAAAAAAAATCAGTGGACAGTCTCCAAAACACGTTACAAACAACACCCGCACAAACGCATTAACACATAAATAGCAAGACCAAACAGAACTTTGTGTTCTTCTGTTCTTTCAGAGGAACAGCAACAGGTGGACGTATCCTCTAGAGATGACGAGCAAATAAAATCCAGAGAGAGAGAGAGAGAGCTCTTTAAGGAGCAGATGTTGAGGATCTGTGTAAATTATTACTAATTGCAGATTCTTATTATCTGTAATCCTAAACACACAATCACATGTTTGCACATGCACACGCACATGTTCTTAATCGGTATTCATATTGTCTTACTTTAATCCCGCCCATTCTCTGTTCTCCCTTGAATTCCTTCCCATTTTTCAGCCAATGGATGGTGGGAGCGGGGTTGCCGGCAGCAGGACAGCGGAACTTCACTGTATTGGCGGCGGGAACAGCCAACAGTTTCTTCTCCATCCGGTCAGGACGGGTCCAGTATGGAGCTTTTGTTAGAAATATAAGAATAAAATCAGATGCTGCTGAAAATATCAACTAAACATGACATTTTAAAAGTACACAAAAACATGTCAGTGTACAATACATGAATCCATAGGCACAAATGGACCACATATAAGTATATGTTGACATGAAGCACTATTTTTTAGGGGGTAGGGTGTTCCCTCTCCGGGAGTCTTCGTGTGGGTGAATGTTTATGGAAAGATTTTTCTTGCTCGCTCTGTGGCAGCATCAGACTGGCTGCCTAATTCCCAGACTGAATTAAAATTTGTTTGGAAAAGCAAACAAGCTTACATACACTCTTACGTGAGTGTGAGGCGTGTTTATGCTCTTGCAGACAGAACTCTGAAAGATTCCCAGTGTTAAATCCTTCACAGAGCCGTGAACACACAATGCGGATCCCTAATAATAACTTATTATAATAACAGAGCAATTTTCCTTCATTTAATCTTCCCACAAATTCAGTTTATAATGTTGACTGTCATGTGGTCAGGTCTGTGTTTACGCTTCCTAGCAGCTAATGCCAAATATCACAGCATAAATACTTACAGTAACATCCTTTAGCTAAAATAATAGTCATTATTTTTATTTTCAGTTCAAGTCTTGAACATTGTGTGTGTATGTGTCTTTAAGAGATTGAGTAAACATACTTTCATCCCTCCTCAAACAATTAACTCCAGATCAGATCAACCCGCAAACTTGGCGATTAAACCCACAGACGCCACATTTCGCTCCAGACATACATGCGAGCTCACAAGCACACGTGTGAATGTGCGCACACACAATAAACCCATTAACTAGACTGAATATAATTGTCTCTCGCGTTATTTGCTCATGCTATCAGATTGTGACTGTAAAGGGTGATTGGCAGGCTGGCATTTCCTTTGGCATAACCCATACACTAATTCCTGTACACACACACACACACTCTTCTAGTTTTCACTGCATTCTCAGATGGTCAGTGATCCATCAGGACCACAACATGGGTCTGTACCATACAGTGGACCTGGCTCCTATATGTGTGTTTGTGTGTGTGTGTGTGTGTGGTTTGCCATTTTATAGAGTTCAGTACAGACAATTTGAGCTTTGAAGTGGGAACTGCGAATCTACAGTGACCCAACTTTTTTTTCCATTTACTTTTATTCTACCGGCAAAAAAAGCCATCAAAGTACAGCGCAACTCTACACAGCTGATATTACGCACAGCTTGCTTCAGTCAGCCAAACTGAGAGCAGTAACTAGCACTGCATCATTAAGATATTACAGAATGATGTCATCAGATGTCACACGACCTCAGCTCTTCTCAAATGTTCCAGAGAGCCCAGACCTCACAGCTCTCAGCTCTCTCTCTCTCTCTCTCTC